AACGCAAGGAGCCCAGGCTGACCCAGCCGGGGTTGGCCACGGGCAGGGAAGATTAACTGGTCCGAAGGCCAGCGAGGGCACCCAGCACCGGCTGGTGAAGCAGGATGGGCGTAGCCTCGTCTCAGGGGAGGGTTTGCTCCCCCAGCCCCATCTGGGCACGTTACGGGGCGTATGAGCCCGGAGCGGCAGCAAGGAGCAGACCGTGGCTGTCGGGCACGGGGCCAGACCAGAAATCCTCACACCCTCCCTGCCCGCCGGCTCCACTGAGTGCTGGGAGGCAGGCAGGGCGCAGGCAGGCAGGGCACAGGCAGGGCAGTGCCTCTGGGCGCATGGAGGGAGGCTCTCCCTTCCAGAGATCGTCAGAGGTGGCTCCTGGCTGCGTTTCTGGATGCTGAACGGGATGTCCCTTGGTTTGGGATTCAGATCCTGGTGCCTTCGTTGCAGGATGGACACTGCAGCAGCAGGACTCACTCTTCGCATGAGGACATGGGACTCTCAGGCCTGAGACAGAGCCTGGACGGTGGCAGCCTCACGGGAGGGACCTGGAGCTTGGGGTCCTGATGAAGACGGGATGGAGGAAGCATACCGCCGGGGCTGGTGGTGCAGAGGTGTGAGCATGGAGCAGGGACGGAGCCAACCCTCTGGATCCCCTGACCAGACCCAGGCTCCGCCGCAGCTGGGTGTATCCCACATCACCTCCCCCCTGCACCGTTCCCGTGATCCCTTACCCAGCTCCCACTCCCGCAGGGTTGATTCACAACCTCCATCATCCCCCTCGAGGGCAGCTCTTCACCACCAGCCTCGGCCAGACCCGGCTGGGGAGGAGAGAAATGAGTCAAAGGGTAATTAAACATTAACAGGAGGCGGTCGCCGCGGGAGGACAGCTCACAGGGCTTCCTTTGTTCCAAAGGGGGGTTTAATTTATAAAAATAACACAACTTAGAAGGTCACCGGCATCGCTAGACGTGACACGCGTGTGTAATTGTCTCCGCACATCCGGTCACCCGGTAAACAGACAGGCGAAACCTCAAAATCGACGACCAGAGTCACCTGAGGAGCAAACAGGAGGGACCGTGCGTGGCACACCACACCTGGAGAGCCCCTGAGCAGCAGGAACCCAGGAAGCCTTGAAACTGCTCCAGGCCCTGAGATCTCACCCTCCAAGTGAAGCGCGCCATTCAGCAACAGGATTATTTACCCTCCTCAATGGGAAAAAAAAAAACAAACCCACAATCACAAAACAGTGAAATGGGTTTGAAGCCAGAATTAAGTGGTTTCCTCCACTAGTCAAGTGGGGAGGTTTCCAGTGAACTCCACAGCGTTATGAAATGTGTGGAACAAAACCCCATCCGTGGAACTCGCCGCTGCCTGTCCTGTTGATCTGCCCCGGCCCAGCTTTTTATCCATCTGGGAGAAGAAAAACAGAGCTATTTTAACCATTAACCTCTTGTAGCAACACCTCCTCTTGGTTACTTCTACACCGGAGCAGCAAAAAGTGCCTCCCAGCAGGACAGCTTATTTCTTCTTCCCAGCAACCCAGCACCAGAAACCAGAGCAAGAGCAAAATGATACTGGCTTTAAAGTCCCTTAATGCTTGCTGCCAAAAAGGAGGGGTTGTCTACGATCATTTTATGATATATTTTGAAGGGGAAACGGAGAAAAGCTGCCTTGAAGTGAAATAAATAAATAAATAAATATCGCACTGACTGAGAAAACACTTTCAAACAGGATACCTGTGGGGCGGGGTAAGGATAAATACATACTCAGAGGCTTTCATTTCATAGCTTAGCGTCCTGACCTTCCCTGCCGAGCTCACATAGCTGCAAAGAAATGAAACTGGGTCCTGGGAGCCCGAGGAATCGCCCGTCTGGTCTCCCCTAGGAGCCATCACAGCTCCGACCTCCCTCAGGATCACAACAGCCAGACCTCAAGCCTCTGCAAGCACTTGGGGTGACCGGCAACGCTCTCCTCTAAACCAACAAGACTATTCAAAGAAAACAGCAGCTGTGACCAGGAGGGAACAACGCGCACCCACCCGCTGATCAGCAACCCGTAACACGACCAGCAAAGCGCGGCGACGCGTTGCTGCTGTCAGAAAAGAGGGTTGGGGGAGAACGTGCCCCCTCCACCGTTCACCCAAGCTGAGAACGCTGCGGGGCCAAGCGAGCAGACAGACCGCAGGCACCCGTGTTGGGGGCTGAGTTGCCACCTCCTTGGGGCAGCACCCTCCTCCTGCCTGTAAACAGCCAGGGCCACCCACACCCGAGGACGGTCACCACGCAGGGGCTGGTGGCCCCTACTCAGAACTCGCCAGCGTGGCATGAGCAGAGGGCTGGGAGACAGGGAGCACGTGGCTCGAGGACCTGCAGCTGTAGGGGCTCTTCCCGACAAATTGAGCTCAGGGAGATGGAAGGAGGCGGTGGGAGGAGATTCCATGCTGTGATGAGGAGGTGGGTGCCTGGGGGAGCCCCAGTCCTGCCCAAGGGACTGTTCTTGGCACCATGACAGCTTGGGGAGGAAGGGGACAGGCGGGGGAAGACGGACACTCCTGGAGCCAGTTTCTCCCTGCAGCACCGGAGAGGTTTCCTCAAGCAACCCGCCCTTTTCCTCACTGCCAAAAGCAGCATCGCTGGGTGTCAGCTGG